CGCCGCAGCGGCGCAGCAGCAACACCGCGCCGCAGCGGCGCCGCGGCGGCGCGTTGCCGCAGCATTTGGCAATTAGTGCCGAGCCCGGGGCAGGGAAAGGGCGGGGGCGCCGCAGATCGGGCGGGGCGGGGCTGCTGCTGCTGCGTTCAAGTTTCCGGTTGCTGCGGCGCCGCCGCGGCGGCCGCGGCGGCCGCCGCTGCTGCTGCTGCTGCTTCTGCGCAGGATTTCGAAAATGTCCGGCAAAGGGCCCGCGCAGAAGTCCCAGGCGGCGAAGAAAACGGCGGGGAAGTCGCTGGGGCCGCGCTACCGGCGGCGCAAACGCACCGAGTCGTTCGCGCTGTACATCTACAAAGTGCTGAAGCAGGTGCACCCCGAGACCGGCGTTTCCAAGAAAAGCATGAGCATTATGAATTCTTTCATCAACGACATCTTCGACAGACTCGCAGACGAGGCTGTGCGCCTCATTCGCTACAACAAGAAGCGCACGCTTTCCTCCCGCGAGATCCAGACCGCCGTGCGGCTGCTGCTGCCCGGGGAGCTCAGCAAGCACGCCGTCTCCGAGGGCACCAAGGCCGTCTCCAAGTACACCACCTCCGGCGCCTGACTGCTGCTGCTGCTGCTGCTGCTGCTGCTGCTGCGGGGCGGCGCGGGCGCGCTGCGGCGGCAGCTGCTGCTGCTGCTGCTGCTGCTGCTGCTGCTGGGTTTCGCGCGGGAGGCGCTCGACGTGCGCGGACGCCCGGGGCGGTTCGGCTGCGGCGCGGGCGAGCTTCGCCGTTTGCTGCTGCAGCAAACGCATGCATGCAATTCCATTTTTTTGCTCTTTCTCGCCTCCAGTTGTTCACTGTGAACTCCAGTTTGCACACAGACTCCACTCTTCTCGTGTCCACGCAAATGCGCCTTCCCTTTGCGGCGCTGCTGCTGCGCTGCTGCTGCGCTGCTGCTGCTGCGGCGGCGCTGCACTCGCCTGCAGCGCCCCGCGGCGGGGCGAGGCCAGCACCTGCTGCAGCAGCCTCTGCAGCAGCAGCGAGCTGCTGCAGCTAGCTGCTCCTGCCTGCTGCTGCGGACAACGCCTGCAGCGCGCGTTTTGCCTCAGCGGCTCCAGCCAGCCACGGCTAGCTGCAGCTAGCTGCAGCAGCAGCAGCTAGCCAGACCGGCCGCAGCTGGCATCAGCACCAGCAGCAGCAGCAGCAGCAGCAGCTGGCTGCGGAAGCAGGCAGTTGGGGCTCAGTGGCTGAGTTCGTTTGCGAGCGGAAGCCGCGGGAAAACTTATAAGCATTTCTTTATTTGTTTCCAACCCTTTGGAATTAAAGTTAGAAATTTGTCTCCAAACTTTGCAAAAATTGTAAAGAGGAAATTTAGAAATCTTTTTTAAATTTGAATTCCGAAATTCAAATTTTCGAAAGTGGCTCTTCAGCGCAGGTGTCTCTACACCTCAGGGATGGCCCTACCAAATGCAAATATATGTAATAAAAACATAAATATAAATAGAAGAATATATATATGTTGCATTATTAAATGATTATTATTTATATATGTTTTATATAAATGCTGTAGAGCGCGTAAAGAGGAGAAGCAGCTCTTTTTAGCTCTTCTCCATTTCGCTGCTGGAGCGCAGAATGCATTCAGGCAAAATGCATGCAGTGCCTTTTCTTTTGTTTGAAGGCGCATGCAAATTGAAGGCAAAAATGCATGCAAAATGTAGGCAAAGATGCATGCAAAATCTAGGTAATGTGCATGCAAAACCCTGGCAAGAATGCATGCAAAATCTAGGCAAAAGTGCATGCAGAGTCTTGGCTCCAAGCCAAGTCTCTACGGTGGTGTCCATACACTGGCTACCACTGCAGGAGTGGAAGCTCATTCTAAATAACTTATCTAAAATATATATATATATATGTACATAAATAAATCTATACATTATATATCTATATACATATGTACACCTATATATTATATATATCTACATATTATATATATCTATATATATATATATATCCGAGGCTGGTGAAGCCAAGAACAGGACTTGAAGTGTCTTGCGAAGAATGGAGAGGCTGAGTTGGAGATGGGTTTGCAGTTCGAAGCAAAAGAAGAAGAGCGACACTGCGTCCGTGTCGAGTGCGCGAGAAACAACAACAATAATAAATAATAATAAATAACAGTAAATAATAATAATTAATTCTTCCTCGAACTCAAACGGGTTTGATCTGCAAACAAAAAAGAAAAAAGTGAAAGTGATCGCGGCGGCCGCGCGCGCCCGCGTCGCCGAGCTGTCTGTACACCCCAGCTCCGCGCCGCGAAACCTGAACTTGAACGCACAGAAAACTTTCGGAGCTTACTCTGAAATGCAATCCAATTAAAGAATAGACAAAACATTTCAAGTCCTGAACCAAATAGTAAAACACGCGAAGTCCCTCCTGGTCTTTGCAGCGCTGCACATCCGCCATGGAGCCGATCTTCGACGTCTGCGCAGCAGCAGCAGCAGCAGCAGCAAGCAGTCAAAAAACTCATTATATTCCTCAACGAAATCTGCATCTTTCCCCTCAAAAATGTTAATTCCATCAAAACTCCGCTTCCTTCAAAATTCCAATTATTGCGCATGCATCAACGCCCATGCTATACCCACTCAAACTAATGCACACAGCTACAGCAGTGCATGCAGTGCATGCATTGCCGCATGCAGTGCATGCATTGCTGCGTGCACTGCATGCAGTGCATGCAGCACTGAAAAGCATGCATTGCATGCATTTGAAGGTTTTGCAAGTTTTGCTCTTACAGTGAAGGAGATGTGATCTTTGCCCAAAATGATCTCGAGCTCTTGGCGGCCTACGCGGTCTGGGGCTGGCCAGTTGTTGTCGTCTTCGCTGCAGCAAAGCAATTCCACAGCAGCAGCAGCAGCAGCAGCAGCAGCAAATGACGAGGCCAAAAGTTACTTCACCTTCGAGTCTTTTGCAGCAGCAGCAACAGACTAGCCGCAGCAAATGACGCAGCCACAGGCCATTATACTTTTGAGTCTTTTGCAGCAGCAGCAGCAGCAGACTTTGTTCCTAATTCTTTTGCAGCAGCAGCAGCATCAGCAACAGACTAGCAGCAGCAGATGACGCAGCCTTAACTGCAGCACAAGAGATGGCCAGGGAGCATTCTGGCAACACATAAAAATAAAAGAACTAAAAAACTCATTTCTCGATTCTTCATGAAACACTACTATTCCTAACACCAAGTCCCTGCTGCTGCTGCTGCTGCTGCTGTTGCTGCTGCTGCTGGTGTCTTACCGCAGGATTTCTGCCTCTTCAATAATTCTTCTAAGTTCCTTTATGACGGCTTGGCTGACATATGCTGCAGCAAACTCACAGCAGCAGCAAATGCATGCAAAGATGCGCACCAATAAAAGAACCAAATTCATACAAATAAATGAATATATGCACATATTAAATACATATTTATATTTACATGTTTATATTTATATTTATATTTATATTTATATTTATATTTATATTTATATTTATATATTTATATTTATATTTATATATTTATATTTATATTTATATTTATATTTATATTATATTATATTTTAATTGATGTGCGCTTATAGAGGTGTAATACGCCCAAGAGCCGGCCAGAAATGACTCCATTTGCCTGAAATATATATAAATGAATATATAAAATATTGCATACATATATATAAGAATATATATATATATATATAGTGTATACAATCTATACATATTTATTATATATATATATACATATATATAAGTAAATATAAATATATATATACATATAATTATATATACTTTACATACATAATGGGCTGCAGAGGCGAAGTCAAATGCCTTTATGTGCTGACATGCAAATGAAAACAAACAAAAGGAAATAAATGCATTTCTGAATCCTCAATTCACCATTCAAGAAAAGAGGGGAAAGCGAGGCGAAAAGTCCTCAATCTGGCCATTTAAATTGAAATAAGGACAGAATAATTTAATATTTTGAATTATATTTTGAACTATTTGAATTTAATTACCTTCTTTTCGAATCATTGTGTCGTTCTTGTAATTTGAATTGTTCGCGTAGCGCATCCGCCCCTCCGCGAGAAATTCAAATTCAAGGAACTCGTGGCCGAACTTGCCCTTGTGGCCGGTGCTGATCCGCGGAGTTTAAACAAATAAAAAGAAATGAAAACAAATATAAATAGATAAACAAATAAATAAATGAATAAGAAATAAACATGAAACGCGGAAAACGGAAATAATCTTTAAGCCTGTCACTTCATGCTGCAGCATTCAGAGCCGCAGCAACTTTGAAATGCAAGTCGAATAAAGGAAAAGAAATAAACCTTACACACAAAAACGAGTTGTTATATTCAAAAAGAAGTTAAAGAAAAAAGAAAGTCATGAAGGCAAAAGGAGTTACCAGATTCACAAATCCTGCAACGGAAAGCGGAAACCTGAGGCTCATTTTGCCGATACAGAAAAGACATATGTGCAATTAAAGGTGGAAATGCAATTAAATGGAATAAATGGAATTTAAATGAAACAAAAACCCACTAGTAGCGCAAATAAAAATCGTCGTCGTCCCCCATTTTGCAAAATGCTGAAATTCAACTTCCTGCGAAGCGGTAGATGCGCAGGGGGCGTCGCTGAGTTTCCGGGACTCGTTTCCGCAAAGTGCGTGGGTATTTTCTCTTCTTTGAATAATTAATTGCAAATTAAAACAATTAAAAGGAATAAAAACGAGAGAACTCGCTCACCGCTCGAGCTATCCACCTGCAGCAGCAGAGGCTATCCGCCACCCCTGGGGCTGAGGCGATCCACAGAGGCCCTGCGAGGCCCCCAGACTTTGAATGAACAGCTTCAAAGAATAGAACAAATCCAAATTCTTGCAAACTCGCAACAACAGCAGCAACTCTCCAGGGCGCTGCTGCATGCATGCATGCAGCATGCATTTCCACGGGGCTGAGCCGCTGAGGGGGGAAGACGAGAAGCCCTATTGTTTGTTTTGGCGTTTCTGCTTTCCCGGTGCCTTTGTCGCAGCTCCTGAGGTGTCCATACACCTCAAATCAATCCTTTACACGATCTTTTACACCACAACTTCCCCCAGACTGCCCCCAGCTGCAGCTGCATCTGGCAGCAGAAATGAATTGCCATTCAAGAGCAAGTGACACTTTTTAAGTTATTGACACAAAGAAGCTACGGACCGCTGCTGCTGTTGCTGCTGTTGCTGCTGTTGCTGCTGCAATTGCTGCTGCTGCTGCAGCTGCTGCTGTTGCTGCTGTTGCTGCTGCTGCAGCTACTGCAGCAGCAGCTGCTGCTGGTCTGACGGCAGCAGGAGCACTTGTGTTTCTGAACTGGCGAGCTTCACTTGTGTAGATCCAACAGAGAACTTTCAAAAGATGTTTAATGGAAGTTTTAATAGACATTTTGCAACTAATTCTCTTTAAATTGCCACTTTAAACGTTTTTGAAAAGTGTCAAAATGCAAAAACAGTTCAGATTTTTCGTACTTGAATTTCGGCAGAGACGCAGCAGCTCGCAGTGTAGAGACAGCCCAGCGGGCCTTGTAGGGACAGCGCCTGAGTTTAAAAAAATTATTTTTAAATTTGAATTAATTTAGAATTTAAATTCAAAGTGCTGCAGACCAGAGACTCCAGCGGTCTACTGCAATGCAGCAGCAGGAAAGCAGCACGCAGCAGCTGCAGCAGCTGCAGCAGCAGCTGCAACTCTGCGGAGAAGTTTGAGATTATAAATTTTCTTTTTCTTTCCAAAATCAAATACCTTTAGAAGCAACAAAGGCATGAACCGAAAGACAGGAGGAGCAGCAGGCAGCAAATTCAGCAGCGGGAAGCCACAGAAAGCTGAACTCCAGCGACGAGAGATCCTCAGCCGCAAAACTTGAATCTTAAAAGCAAAATAAATACCATAAAAAAGGAACTTGCAATATTTACTGACAGCTGCGAAGCTTCGAGGGTTTGGGGGTTTCGGATCGCTTGAATTGCTGCTGCTTTCCTCGCAAGTTCAGAAAAATTTAATATTCTGCGCAGCAGGCAAACTACTGCGGCAAAGATCAGCCTTCTTTGCAGCTTTTATTTCTCTTTTAATTTCATGTGTGTTGATTAAGGTCTCATTTGGCGAGTTAAACGGCTTTCTGATTGCAGAAGCTGCATTTAAAATGCGATTTCGGCGAATTCACATCCGCATGCAGTGCGAAAAGAACAAACAGCAGATGCTGCATCTCGAGAAAACATAATTTGAGTAATTGTTAGAGACAATGCCTCCTTTCCTCAAGTTGTTGGCGTTTAAATCAGCGGAAGTTGAATTTGCAAGATCCACTTCAGGAGGTGTACATACACCCCAGGTGTCAGTGGAACACGGAGTTTGACCGGCGGAAGCAGGGAGCCTGGGAGTTGGTTTAGGCTTTCCTTTTGGGATTTTTCGAAACTTAGTGCACGATGTTGGTCTTTTACAGGCGGCTGTTGAAGGGCCAGCCCTTGGCAGCGCTGCTGCTGCTTTCCGTTTCCCCCGCTGCGATCTCCCTGGCTCGCGCGGAGCAGATGGTGGCGAACACGTACATCCGCGTGGACTCCGCGGAGGCTTCTTCTTTTTTTCCAAGTGTGGGCCCGGGGGGCCTGCGGGAGTTCTCTCCAGACAAAGCTTTAACTCGAGGCTCCGGCTACTGGTGTTCTGAGGGAAACCACCGAAAAGGCGAAGTCGTGAGTTGGACTGGCCGCCTCAGAACGCGAAGATCCGTGGAGGGCCTCGAGATCCACTGGGCCTACGCCCCTGGAAAGGGTGAGCTCGCCAGCGGCTTTCCCTGCTGCTGCTGCTGCTGCTGCTGCTGCTGCTGCTGCTGCTGCTGCCGGTTGAAAGAAGTTGAATTCAACCCGCCGGGCCCTCCGCGCAGTGTCTGTGGCCGCGAGCTTCGACGGATCGGAGCCTTTTCAAGAAGTGGTTCCTTTTCAAGACGTGAACTCTGCAGGGCGTGAGTCGGTTGGGGTGTACGTACAGCTCGCGGCGCCGCCTCTGCATGCGCCTCGCCCCTCGCAGCTCAGTTTCATCAAGTTTTGACTTTCCCGCAGCCGGTCCAGCTGAAGGCCATTCGCCTTTTCATGAAAGACCCTCAGAGTCAGTACTTCGGCATCAGTTTGCTGCAGCTGCTGGGGGGCGGCTTTCCCGTTCTGCGCATTCAAAGCGGCATCACGAGTCCCCACCAAGTGCGTTTCTCCAAACCCTAAACCCTAAACCCCAAACCCTAAACCCTAAACCCTCAGGACCTGTGTCTGCAAAGCGACGAGAGGGGAGACATAGTGCTCGACGGCTGTCTGACGTCTGCAGCAGCCGCGGACGAGCGCGCGCTGTGGCAGTTCACGGAAAAAGGTGAGGGTTTAGGGTTTAGGGTTTAGGGTTTAGGGTTTGGAGTTGAGGCGCGCGCAGGCCAGCTGCGAAACCCCGCGCTGGGCGGCTGCGCTGTGCTGAAGGACAACAGCGTAAAGGATGGAGGCGAAGTGGTTTTGGGAAACTGCGAAGTTGAATACAACTTCCAAGACGGGCGCAGCGTCTGGTGAGCCACCTCCTGCTGCTTCTGCTGCTGCTGCTGTGCCTTTTGCTGCTGCTGCTGCTGCTGTGCCTCTTGCTGCTGCTGCTGCTGTGCCTCTTGCTGCTGCTGCTGCTGCTGTGCCTCTTGCTGCTGCTGCTGCTGCGGTGCCTTTTGCTGCTGCTGCTGCTGCTGCTGCTGCTGGTGCAGGGCGTCACAGCGTTGCTGCAGGGAGCTGCAGGCGAACAACCAGCTGCTGCTGCTGCGGGGCAGCAGCAGCTGCCTGTCGCAGCAAGGCAGCAAAGCTGGCAGCAGCGACGTGGCGCGGAACGCAGAGGCGCGCAGCAGCCACACGCGGGCGGAGGCTGTGCATGCGCCTGCTGCTGCAGTGGACGGCAGCAGCGAAAGCTTCTGGGCTTCTCCGGAGTTTGCAAAAGATGCAATTCCCCCAATTGTGGTTTTCGAAGTGGACCTGGGGAGCGCCTTCAAGCTGCGGAGTGCAGAGATCGACTGGGAGTTTCCGCCGCTTTCGTTTGCACTCTTTGCAAGTTCTGACAACTCCAACTTCCTGCAGGTTTCCCGAGTGGCCGCCAACTGTACGTACACCTCAAGCCTCGACCTCAAGGCCACCGTCGCGCGCTTTCTGCGGCTGCAGCTGGAGAAGCCGCACCCGACTTTGGGGTGGGGGCAGTTTGCAGAACTTGAATTTCGATTTGCAGCACTTCTCTCTTCCATTCCTTTCATTTCTTTCATTATTTCATTTCTTTCATCATTTCATTCATTGCATTTGTTTCATTCAATGCATTTATTGCATTCATTGCATCTATTGCATCTATTGCATTCATTGCATCTATTGCATTCATTGCATTTATTGCATTCATTGCATTCATTGCATTCATTGCATCTATTGCATTCATTGCATTTATTGCATTTATTGCATTCATTGCATCTATTGCATTTATTGCATTCATTGCATTCATTGCACTTATTGCATTCATTGCACTTATTGCATTCATTGCATTCATTGCATTCACTGCATTCACTGCATTCACTGCATTTATTTCATGTGTTGCATTTATTTCGCCATTTCATCAATTTCGTCAGTTTCATTCTTAAATAATTGGACTGGCTTCGCCATTTGACTCACCGCATTCACTGCGTTCATTGGCGCGTGTGCTGCAGCGCGTCGAAGGACAAGTTCTTGTACGCGATAAAGAGCTTCTCCGTGTACAGCAACCGCCTGCGCTCCGTCGTGGAGTCTTGTTCGAAGGCGAAGACTTCGAGCGACGCGCGAGACAAATACTTTTTGGAATTGGTTTCCGAAGTGGACTTGGCTGCGGGGCGGGCGCTGCAGCGGGAGGCGCAGCAGGCAGCAGCCGCGGGCGCGGCCGTGGCCAGCGGGCTGGCTGCGGTCGAGGCGCTTCTGGGGCCCGTCAGGACTTGTTTGAAGGAAAAAAAAACAAGTTTTGAAAAGCTTTCGGCTTTTCGCGCGGAGATCGGCGACGCGGAGAGGGCTGCGGCGCTGGTTGGTGAGCGAAAGCGCGCGAAAACTCCGAAATTCGAAAATTCAACTTTTCGACTTTTCGCAGAAGAACAGCTGCTGTCCGTACACCCCAACCCCGCAGTCCGCCCCATGCCCGGCCTGCAACGCCAACACCCTGTCCAAGACTGCTACACAATTAAAAGCAAATTCAACTTTGCAACTTCCGGCTTCTACTGGGCCTCGCCCCCCTGCGCCCCGAAACCCCTCAGGGTCTTCTGCGATCTTTCCTCAGGAGCCACTTTTGCAACAGTTCCCGACACTGACGGCGTTCTCTCCGTTGCAGACGCAGTGCATGCATGCAACAGTGAGTCTTTTCCCAGTCTTTTTCCAAGATCTTCTTCCGTGTTTGTCTCCTCTCTAGGCCTTTTGCGAATATCTTTTCTCAAAGTCTTTTGTCTTTGTCTCCCCTCAAAGTCTTTTGCGGGTTTCTTTCTCAAGTCTCTTGTGAACATCTTTTCTCAGAGTCTCTTCTGAAGATCTTTCTAAAGTCTTTTGGGTTTGTCTCCTCTCAAAGTCTTTTGCGAACATCTCCTCTCAAAGTCTTTTGTGAAAGCCTTTTGTGAAAGCCTTTTGTGAATATCTTTTCTCAAAGTCTTTTGTGTGTGTCTCTCCCCTCAAAGTCTTTTCCCAAAGTATTTTCTCAAAGTCCTTTGCGAATATCTTTTCTGAAACTCTTTTCTAAAAATCTTTTCTGAATCTCTTTTCTGAGTCTGTTTTCTGAATCTCTTTTCTGAACTTCTTTTCTGAACTTCTTTTCTGATCTTTTTTTTGGATTTGTTTTCTGAATCTCTTTGCTGAACATCTTTTCTGAATCTCCCTTCTGCACCTCTTTTCTGAACTTCTTTTTGAGTTTCCTTTTGAATTTCTTTTTGAATTTCTTTTCCGAAATTTTGAATTTGAATTCGCTTGGCGTTTGCTGCAGAGCTTGGGCTGCAGCCGGTGCACCTCCACAGCCGCCGCCAAGTGGAGGCGCTGCAGCAAATGCTGGAGTTGATGGAAATGGACTTTTCCAATCCTGTCCCGATAGCTGTCAACAACGGCGCCAACGTCTTCTACTCTCTCGACTTCAAGAAAGACGTCAGTCCGGGCTTTGCGAGGGTTTAGGGTTTCACGAGGGTTTGGGGTTTTAGCGAGGGTTTGGGGTTTGCAGGCCGGGCGTTTTCCCGAGGGTTTAGGGTTTCCCGAGGGTTTTTCGGCGGGTTTTTGGGTTTTTTCGGGGGGGTTTCGGAGGGTTTAGGGTTTATTGGAGTTTCGTTTGCATGCAAAAAGTGGAAGTTGAACTTATTTGGCGCTTTAGGTCTCGGAGTTTGTTTTGGAAATTCAAGAAAGTGGAAAGTTGGTCGGAAACACCGCAGGCCTTTCGCCGGCGGGTTTGGTCTTCTTCGACTCTTCGGCGACGGACATGTCGACGCTGATATGTGCGAAATCGGTTTCAAAACAAACAAACAAGTGATAAATAAATAAATAAATAAATAATAAATGAATAAAATAAATCAAATAAATAAATGAATAAATGAACAAATGAAGGGCCTCATTCAAGCGCTGCAGGCTCCACGAACACCGACGTGTGGCACCCGCCAGCAGCTGCAGCAGACATCAGCTGCAGCACGACAGTGGAGGGCAACGCAGCATTCGGGGGGCCCCCCGGGAGCACTTATTTAGTGAACTGTCCGGAAGATTGCATGCAATTTGGTGAGTAACTTGCAAACAATTTGCATTTAAATCGAAAATAAATAAACAATCCGCAAGTTCAGCCGGAGAGGCCAGGCTCGTCGGCGGGGAAGCTGGGGTGTATGCAGCAGACAGCTCGATCTGCGCAGCAGCAATCCACGCCGGAGTCCGCAGCAGAACTGCAGCAGCAGCAATTCGAATTGTTGCTGCTGCAGCAGAGTTCGAAGGCTCCGACAACAACGGAATCCTCTCCAGCAGCCTCTTGGGGCCCCAAAGGGTCAACGCCTTCACTGTCGAGCCTGCAACTAAGCAGTGCCCCCTCGACAGCAGCAGCAGCAGCAGCAGCAGCAGCAGCAGCAGCATGGGCGGCGTCAGCAGCGCAGCTGGCAGTACCAGCAGCAGCGGCGTCAGCGCCGCAGCTGGCACTACCAGCGGCAGCAGCGGAGTTGGCACTACTGACAGCAGCAGCAGCAGCGCAGGCGGCGCCGCCGGCAGCAGCAGCAGCAGCAGTGGAGGTGGCACTGCCACCAGCAGCAGCAGCGGAGGCGGCACTGCCAGCAGCAGCAGCAGCAGCAGCGGAGGTGGCACTACCAGCAGCAGCAGCAGCAGAAGCAGCTTTCTGGAGCTGCACGCTCCCCCGTTTGTGCCTCCGGCTCCATCAGCTAACCCAGCCTTTCCGCCAGATGCTGCAGCAGCAACTACGCGGGTTGTAGCGCCCCCCGCAGCAGCAGCAGCAGCAGGAGCGCCCGCAGCAGCCCCCGCAGCAGCAGCGCAAGCAGCACCTGCAGCGCAAAGGCCTGCAGCTGCAGCAGCGGCAGCCCCACCGCCCTCCTCCTCCACAGCAGCCCCTGCAGCAGCAGCGCCCGCAGCAGCAGCAGCAGCAGCAGCAGCAGCGCCGGGCGCCGGCGCGTCTGCTGCAGCACGAGCAGCAGCAGCTGTTGCAGAAGAGCTGAATGAAGCAACAACAGTTGCAATAAATCAGCTGTCTTTGATTTTGTCGCAGCAGCTGGGGGGGCTGGAGGCAGCAGTTGTGGACGCGATAAAGCTGGAGGCGACGAAGGTGCGTTGGAAGCGACTTGAAAATTGAAACCTTTTCAAGTTTTGAATTCTTTTTAATTTTTGAAATCCTTTTTAATTTCAAATGTTTCAAAATCGAAACTTCAACTCCAGGTGATCTCCGGCGCGCGCTCGCAGCTGAAGCCTGCGGAGCGCATGCAGCAGCGGCTGGAGGTGAGCAGCGGGTCACTTGCGAGTTTTCGGGGCCTTCCGATTCTCGATTTACTTCGAACTAAATTGGACAATTTAATGAATTAATTCATTTAATTCATTTAATTCATTTAATTCATTCAATTCGTTCAACCGCAGGTCGCAGCGAAAGAAACCCTCGGAGAGGCCGAGCAGCTCGCGGGTCGGCTGCAGCAGATCTCGGGGAAGGTTTCGCAGGCCTCGGAGGCGAGTTCTGCGGAGCTGCAGATGGTGGGCGGAAACGAAAGACTTATTTGAATTGAATTGATTTATTCAATTTCGAATTTAACTCTTCAAAGAATCTCCGCAAAAGAGCCGCGCAGTCCGCCGCGGATCCGTGGAGTCTGGAGAAGGTGAAGAACTTGCAAGTGGCGGAGGCGTTTCAGATCTTCAACTCGAAGTTCACAGTGGGTGCGTCTTTTTAGAGTTTCTGCTTTCAAATGGGCAAACGCCGAAGCTCGCGGACCAATGAAAGAATGAATGAATTGATTTATTCGTTTACTCGTATTCAATGGTCCCAATTGCATGAACAAACTGCCGAACTTAGGAAGCAGCAAGTGGAAGATCGGCCCGTTTCCAGCCACCCCCAGCCACCCCGACAGCCGCCACTGCCTCTGCCAGTCTTCCGCCGTTTCCCCGAAACTTCCCAACGCCGCAGCAGCGGGAACTTTTGCAATTTTGAAAGAAAAGGAGTTTTTCAATTTCGAGTTTTTCGGCCAAGTCCGGGCCTCCGGCGCGGGCTCCGTGGGCGTGGCTTTCCACGTCAAAGACCCCCGAAACATGTTTCTCTTCGAAATGCAAAAGGCAAGCACTTTTCGACTCCAAACGCAAACGCATGCAAACTTTTGCTGCTGCAGCGCAGCAGCGGCGGCTTCAAACGGCTGCTGCGCGTCGTCAACGGGGCCCCCACGGAAGCAGCAAGAGTTGAAGACGGGGGCTTCGTGGAGGACCAGTGGTACAGCATCCGGCTGCGGAAGGTGCAGCAGCGGATTTCGATAACTGTGGCTGAGGTCCCGGAGGCTGCTGCTGCTGCGCCAGCAGCAGCAGCAGCTGCTGCTGCTGCTGGCCTTGCTGCGGGCGCACCTGCTGCTGCAGACATCGACGTCCTCGACGGCTCTTTTGCTTCCGGCTCCCTCGCCTTCTACACCAGCGCAGTCAACTCCGCCTGCTTCCGGGACCTCACCATCAAGCCCATTGCATGCACCAGCAGCAGCAGCAGCAGCAGCAGCAGCAGCAGCAGCGGCGGCGGCGGCGGCGAGCCGCCTTTGCTGCCTCCGTATCCGCCGCTCTGCAGCAACTACAGGGAAGCCGTGAGTGGAATTCAAATTCAAATTCTTCTTTCTGCATGCGTTTGGGGCGCCGCTTCTGAACAGCGTGGGGTGTACGTACACCTCGGTGCTGCTGCTGCTGCAGCTTTCTTCGCCTTTATCAATTTATCCATTTATTATTTATTCATTTATTATTATTATTTATTTATTTATGACTTCTGCTGCAGTTTGTGGGGCAAATCTCCGATGACTGGCATGCACTCGACCCCGACTCCAGCAGCACTCCTTCGCACTGGCGGCATGCAGCAGACATTGGGGGGCAGCACAAGACCATTGCGCAAATGGTGAAGAATTAATTGAATTAATTAAATTAACTGAATTAACATAACTAATTCGATTAAATTCAATTTAATTAATTCATTTGGGACTTTTCAACCATTGAATTCAATTTGCTGCTTCCAATTTGCTGATCTGCGGCGCCGCAGACAGCAGCGGGCGGAGAGAAAAACAAAGTGAGCGTCTCCCGACGACCTAAACCCTAAACCCTAAACCCTAAACCCTAAACCCTAAACCCTAAACCCTAAACCCTAAACCCCAGTGCTTCAATTGTGCATTGAATTCTCGCAGGAGCCCGCAGTGCTGGCCCTCGCTCGCCATCGCTCTTGCGACGAGGGGCAGTTCTCCTTCAACTTCTTTCCTCAGTGCGATGGTGAGATAAATGAATAAAAGCAAAAATGAAAATGAATAAATAAATAAAACAAATAAATACACGAAAAGCTGAACTTTGGGGGCAAAGTGGCTCTGAAGAAAGAAAAACCAAACCGAACAACAAAAGAACTTGGCGAAAATTTGCACTCAAATGCAGGAGTTGTGGGGGCTGCGTTCAACTTCGTGGACAAAGAGAACTACTTTTTGTTTGAAGTGGCTGCGGACTTCGCGCGAATCCGCAGAAGGGCGCGGGGCCTCTTCAGCACTCTGGCCAAGTCCGGGCTTTGGGGCTTCAAGTTGGGGACTTGGAACTCAATCAAGCTCAGCTTCACTGCAGACCGCGTCGTGGTCCGCAGCAGCAGCAGCAGCAGCGGCAGCAGCAGCAGCAGCGGGGGCGGAGCGCTTCCGGTGTTCAGCATCGCGAGGAGCGACGGTGGGTGTGGAGGCCGCAGTTCGCCTCGAACTGGGTCCAAACTGCGGGAAATAAAGCTTAAACTGCATTTGAAAACACTTAAAACGAATTAAAATAAACTAAAACGGCCGAAAGGAGCGAAACTCCGCTCCGCCGCTCTCCACCCTCCGCGCTGTCTGTACACCAGGCGTCGGCGGCACCGTCGCGCTCACCACCTGGCAGTGCGCCGGAGTGGCATTTTCGGAGATTCTGCTGGTGGGCCTTCGAATTTGAAGTTGAAAGAATTCCAATTTGCAAATAAACGCAAATTCAACTTCAATTTCAATTCAAATTCAACTTCAAACGCAGCACCCCGCGAACGAACCCCCCGAAGCCCCCCAGCCCCTGCCCGCCTTCCAGCAGCTTCCGCTGGGGCTGCGCCGCTGCGTCGGGCCCGGCTCTTGGCCCGCCAGGTGGGACTTCGAGCGTTTAAAACTGGAAATAAATAATTAAAATAATAAAATAATAAAATAAATAAAATAAAGACAATTAACGACTCCCGAGAAGCAACGAACGCCAACTCCGCAGGATCCACGCCTGCACCAGCAGCAGCAGCAACAGCAGCAGCAGCAGCAGGGGGGAGCAGCAGCAGGTGACCAGTGGTCAGGGGTTCTGCAGCTCGTGCTGCGCCGCGGAGTTTCCGAACTCCGGAAAGGCGCGAAAAACTTGTTCGAAATATTGCGAAGAAGAAAAAAAAGAAAATTCCTTTTCCGGCTGCCAACAGCTGCAGACCCTCACCGAGACCTGCGCCGGCAGTGAGGCAGACTTTTGCTTTATTTGTTTTTAATTGTTTTCAATTTATAAATTGTTTTTGATTTACAATTTGGTTTAATTTTTAATTTGCTTTAATTTATAATTCGTTTTTAGTTTGTTTTTAATTTGTAATTTGTCTTAGAGTTTCTTTTTAACTTGTAATTTGTTTTAATTTGTAAGTTGCTTTTGATTTGTAAATCGTTTTGATTTATAATTTGTTTTTAATTTTATAAATTCTTTTAATTTTATAAATTGTTTTTAATTTTGAATTTTCTTTTTCAGCTGCAGCCAGGGCCCTCTACTCCTCCTGTGCAGCCGACAGCCGCCCCGACAAATGCACAAGTGAGACTTGGAAATTAAATTAACTTAAATTAATTGAATTAAATTGAATTAATTAAATTAAATTAATTAAATTGCATGAATTTATTTAAATTAATCAAAGTGAATGAATTAACTTAATTTAAATTAAATTAATTACATTAATTAAATTAATTAATTTAAATTAATTAAATTTAATTAATGATTTCAAATGAGTTAACTAATTTGAATGAATTTTTTCATATAAATTAATTAATTTGAATGAATTTTTTCATATAAATTGATTAATTTAAACGAATCAATTTAAACGAATTAATTTAAATGAATCAATTTGAACAAGACAATTTAAACAAATTAGTTTAAATGAATCAATTAATTTAAACGAGTCACTTTATTCAAAACAAATAAATGAATGGACTGATTTGAATACATAAATCAAATTAAATCGATGAATTCATTTAAATAAATATATGTGAACTAATTTAAATACAAATGAATTGGTTAATTTAAATGAATCAAAATAAAAAGAATGAATGAATTCAAACAAAACGAAGGAATTAATTGAAATAAAATAAAAAAGAAAGAATGAATCTAAACAAAACAAAGGAATGAATTAAAATAAGATAAAACGAAAGAATTAATTTAAGTGAGCAAAAGAATTGATCAAAGTAAAATAAGCAAAAGAATGAGTTAAACAAAACAAAAGAAAAGAATGAATTAAAACAAAACAAAAGAACTTCTTAAAACAAAACAAAGCAAAACGAAACAACTTCTTAAAACAAAACAAAACGAAACAACTTCTTAAAACAAAACGAAAAGAATGAATTAAAATAAAATAAAAGAATTGACAAAACAAAACAAAATAAAATAAAACAAAACAAAACAAAACAAAATAAAACAAAACAAAGTAAAATAAAACAAAATAAAAAGAATTAACTTCTGAAATGGACTTCAGGCGAAGTCTGCAAAATGTGCTGCGCGACTTTCAAAAAGCCGCCGGGCGCCGCGGCGAAGATCTGGTGGGCCTCGGAGTCAAATCTTTTAAATTAAACCAATTAAATTAAATTAAATAAATTAAATTAACTTAATCAAATTAAATGAATTAAGTTGAATTAAATTAAGTTAATTGAATGAATTAAATTGAATTAATTGAATTAAATGAGTTGAATGAGTTAAATTGAATTGATTAAACTGAATTAAATTGAATTAAATGAGTGAAATTGCATCAATTAAATTGAATAAAATTGAACTAATTGAACTAAATTGAATTAAACTGAATTGAACCCAATTAAGTTGAATTAATTACATTGAATTGTATTAAATTAAATTAAGTTAAATGAACTAATTGAATTGAATTAAATTAAATCAAATCAAATTAAATTGAATTAAATTGAAGTTCTAATTCAATTCAAATGCAGGAGTGCCCTCGTGGATGAGTGCAGCGCGGAGTGCAAAGTTCGCCGCAGCCGCTTCGCCCAGGTTTTGCTGCCGCAGCAAAACTGAATTAATTCATTTAATTACATTAAATGAATTAAATTGAATGAATTAAATTGAATGAATTAAATTGAATTGAATTGAATGAATTGAATTAAACAAATTAAATTCAATTAAATGAATTCAACGAATTCAATGAATTCAATTCGTTGAAGGCTCAAGTTGTTGGGCGTTTCGTTTCTTGAATTCGAAACGCTGGATTCAAAAGAATTCAATTGAACGAAAAAAGTTCAAATGAAATCCAAATGAACAATTTGGATTTCATTTGAACTATTTATTTGTTTATTTACTTCTTTATTTATTTACTTATTTATTTATTTAGTTTCTCATTTGCTGCTATTAATTTGGTTCAATGAAACCCGAAACAATTCAAATCCATTCTCTCAAATATCCCCTTTGGACTATTCTTTATTTCGCTTTATTTCGCTTTGCTTCTTTTATTTGTTTATTTTGTTTTATTATTTTTATTTTCAAATTCCATTTCTTCAAAAAATGAACTTCAAATCGAAACTGAAATCAACGCGTCCAGCGCCGCCTCTGCTGCTCCCAACAGAATTTCCTTCGTGCAGTCCTGAACACAATTCAAAATCCACATTTAACAAACACAAGTGCTGCTGCTGCTGCTGCTGCTGTTGCTGCTGCTGCACTGCTGCTGTTGCACTGCTGCTGCTGCACTGCTGCTACAGCAGCAACAGCTCGCAAGTGTTATAAGTTCAGAAGCTTTCCGGCACTGTGGCAAGCAATAAGCATATAGTCAAAAACACGGTTTAGGGTTTAGGGTTTGCTAGGGTTTGGGGTTTAGGGTTTAGGGTTTAGTTTGTTATTTTAGGACGAACTCCGTGGGATGAACATCCCTGTACATACACCCCGTGCATTTGCTTAAGTGAGAAAAAAACAAAAAATATATTTCTATTTAAAAATTAAACATGCATGCAAATACAAGGCATGCATGCAAATACAATGCATGCATGCAAATACAATAAATATATTTATATATAAAGAAAAGTCGAAATATTTACATCTTTTTATACATCCACTGCATTACCAAAAGACGCATGCAGCTGTTGCTGCTGCTGCTGCTGCTCCGCAGCAGCAGTTGTGGAGGAATTTCGTGTGTCTGGGGCTTCTCAGAGGGCTTGTTTTTGCAGTTAACACCGCAAGTCTGATTGATTTAATTTACTTGTTTTATTTTCTTCAAAAGCAATTAAATAGAGGAATAATGAATTAGAATAAGTCGAAAACAAACAACCTAATAAAAGCCTCACTTCGCTTTTGCGAATTAACTGCGAAGGCGCGCTGGGGTCGACTCTGTTGACCACCCCGAGGCAAATGGAGGCGGCCCTGGTGGGCCCCTGTTTGCTTTCTGAGTTTGAATTGTCTTTCGTTTCTTTTTCTTTCATTTCTTTCTCGTTTTCTTTTCTTTTTCTTTCTTTCTCCCGCTCGCTGCACAAGTGGTACAGCTGGTGCGACTCCATTTCGCAGGAGTCGATTCCCAGCCGCACAAAGTCCTCCACGAGTTTTTCGTTTTCATCTCCGAAGCCGGGGAAGCGCCGGCCCTGCGAGAAGGCAAACAATGAAGTGGAAAGTGAATTAAATGCAATTAAACGGCATAAAAGTCAAAAAATTGTCCCGTAAAATGAAGGGCAATGCAGCTTTTGATGCAAATGAAGTCCTGCATGCAAAAACCTGCAAGGGGATGCATGCAGCTGCGCGCAAGTGTACGTACACCTGAAAAACGGCTCCACCGGAAACTCGCGCCGAACTCAAATCGGCGAGAAAGGCAAACAAATAATAAAAGTTGGACCATTTGATTGAGAATTAAATGGAGAATAAAAGGAAAATAAAAGGAAAAACAATCAAAAAGTCGAATTCCAATGCAGCTTCGAAAAAGAGCCACCTGGCAGCTGTAGAAGGTTTCCGCAGTGATCCCCAAACCCCTCAAATAAGCCAAGTTCTTTCTCTTCACATTTTCTTCAATTTTATTTAATAATTCTTCGTCGCCTTTGACGGGCCCGGAGATCAAGTAGGGGCCCTCAGGTGTATGTACACCTGGCGCCCCAGCCGCGCTCCCGTCGAAGTGCGCGTAGTTCCTGCAGCAGCAGCAAACCCGCACCAAGCCACGCAAACCCTGCAGCAGCAGCAGCAGCAGCAGAGTTTTAGCAGTTCCTGCAGCAGCAGCAAACCCACGCACAAGCCACGCAAACCCCGCAGCAGCAGCAGCAGCAGACCTTCGGCAGTCCCTGCAGCAGCAGCAAACCCACACCACGCCACTGCAGCAGCAGCAGCAGACCTTTGGCAGTAGTAAATGCTGTTGGAGATGCAGAGAGTGCCTGGGGAGCAGCCGGCCTTGAAGATGCCGCAAGTGCCCAGGCGCACGAAAGCCAGGCCTTTTTGTTGAAACAAAAAAGAACTTTCTCGAACCAAAAAGTCCATATTTGGAGCTCCCATTCCAATGCACACCACCGACACGCCCCGCCCTTTGTAGAGGCCTGCGGTGTACGTACACCCCACGCATGCGCCAGGTGTACGTACACCCCACGCACCTCCGGGTGTACGTACACCCGGCTCCTTTCGCTTCCTTTCGACTTTAAACGACCAGATTCAGTCAATTTGTTGCTTTGTTTCAATTCACTTTAATTAGTTTTAATTAATTTGAATTTATTCGAATTTATCAGCCAAGTAATTTAAATTAATTCAAAAGATTCGCTTCGGAAGCTGCAGAGCCCCGCGCGGCTGCGGTGTACGTACACCGCGCTGCTGCGCGGCGGCGACGGCCGCCGGCGGCACTTCCAGAAAATATCCAAAACTCGAACTTGAAGCTGCAGCTTAGGGTTTAGGGTTTAGGGTTTAGGGTTTGGACCTGAGAAGGTTCTGAAGTTTCGGGACTTTTCGAATTCTCGAACTTGTTCAAGAAAAGCCTCGGCGATCATTTGGGCCCTTTCTCTGTCGCCCACAGTCAAAATCCGCGGGTGGAGTTCTCCGCTTTTGACTCCCAAGTGGTAGAGAGATCCATCTTCGTTGAGGAAAATTTCGGCTTCTTTTTCCTGGATTTGTTGCAAAAAAGAGTCAAAAGAGTGAAAAAAAATTAAAAAGGGTTCAAAGGAATTAAAAGCAATTAAAAAGAATCAAAAACAATCAAAAAAGGAGAAAATTCCGAAAAAAAGAAGCAAAAATCCAAAAAAAGTTCAACAAGATGAAAAAGTCCCAAAATGTTTCAATAATTCAGAAGATGACAAATGCGCTGCAGCACATTTTCTCTTCGAAGATTCTTCAAAAATATAAATACCCACATATTCCAAACCCCAAACCCTCCTAAACCCCGCAAATGCTTGGTTTGACCATTGATTCATCCCCACAGCCTCGCATTCGGGCTGCTGCAAGTGGAAAGCTGCAATGAAATGAAGGAAATGGACCTTTTGAAATTAACTTACTGCCATTTTTTGCGAAAAAGAGGAAGTGGGGGTTTTTGCAAAACCTGAAAACACGCGGAAACTTGAATTCAAGAATCGAAACCAAGACCGAAACTGCAGCCGCGCGGCTCCGGAGCTCCACAAATTCCAGTGAAACTGAATTAAAACTAACTATTTTGTCGACTTAAAGAAGCGAAAACGCTAAAAATAAACAAAAAAGACTTCCTTTCCACATTTTCCGAAAAAGTTGAACTGGCGAGGTGGCGATCGAGCCGAATTGGAAATGGCTCACCTGCACAGTGCTGGGGTGTATGGACACCTCGAAACGAGCAAATATGAAGGCGAAAACGCAAAAGTTAATTCAATTCTTTTCTTTTACTTTTTTCAGATTGAGGGGGTCGAAACAAGAGGAAAGAAAACGTCGATGCGCAGCCCCGACAGAGGAAGCCAGCAACTGCAGCAGAACTGCCAGCCGACATGCGCTGCAGCAGCGGATTCAGCGCCAAATTTAGTCGCCTTTTCCCTGAATTTTAAATAAATAGTAAATTAATTCAAATTTAACATTTTAAAACCGGAAATTCCGCAAAAATTTGCAGAAAAGGAAAAGCTTGCAGAAGACGCAGCAGCGTTGAAGGCCGTCTCGTCTGTACCCACACTTGCCTTAACTACGGCGAATTGAAATTCGAATTTTAATTTATTATAATTAAAACAAATACATTTAATTTTTAAAACCAAAAAGATAAAAACAAATTCTCAAAAAGCGAATAGACGCAGCCTTCCACTCAGGCGAGGCGAACGCAGCCGCCAGGAGCAAATTCTGTATTCAGATAGCTCTGTTGATGGAAAAACAAAATCAAATATTCAGATTCAGATCATATTTCAACTAAAAATAATTTAATTCGTGTAATTAAATTAAATTAAATTGAGATGAACTCCCCCCTCGCTACCCTACTGCATGCATCCAACCTTTCAGACTTCTCACTTGAATTCTGCTGCTGCTGCTGCTGCTGCTACTGGCTGCTCTCGAATTCATTTAAATCATTTGCTGCAGAAGCGCTGCTAAATTGGAGTGTACAGACACTCAGTGTTTCTCATTCACTGGCGACCACCAGGCGCTACTGCTGCTGCTGCTGCAACTTGTGCAGCTTACCTGCTACTGCTGCTGCTGCAGCCGCTAACGTGCTGCTGCTGCTGCTGTAGCAGTAACCGCTCAAGTGCTGCTGCTACTGCAGTTGCTGCAGCAGCCACGCGCGTGCCGCCGCTGCTGCTGCACCAGCCGCCCCCGTGCTGCTGCTGCTGCTGCTGCTGCTGCTGCTCGGTATTTACTTCTTTAAAATTGGTTTTTAGTTTTTGCAGCTAACAGAAAAATCTTGCCAGAGGGTGTTTGTCCTTCGGCAGCAGCCGCCACAGCTGCAGCGTGCATTTCATGTCTGCTGTTGCTGCTGCTGCTGCTGGTTCTACTGCTGCTGCTTCTGCTGCTGCTGCTGCTTCTGCTGCTGCTGCTGCTGTATCTGCGGGCTGCCTATCAACCCCACACACTCGTCTGTCGATACACCCAGAAGCAGCAACTGCAGCTGCAGCTGCAGCTGCAGCAGGCGCAGCACCTGCTGCTGCTGCTGCAGCAGCAGCTGAATTATCTAATTCACTGGCTGCGCTGTTTCCTGCTGCAGAAACTCCTGCACCGCAGGCTAAAACTACCGCTCGTGCTGCTGCTGTTGCTGTTGCTGCTTTTGCGGCTGTTGTTGCTGCTGCTGCTACTCCCGCTGCTGCATCGCAGATCGGCGCAGCAGCAGCAGCAGCCCCTGCTGCTGCTTCCTGAAGCCCATCTTTCGAAGAACTTACTTGGCAGCAAAGCTGCTGATTGGGATCAGCAGCAGCAGCAGCAGCGGCAGCAGCAACAGAAGCAGCAGCTCCGAAGTCTGTTGCTGTTGCAGCTGCTGCATCTGGGTCGCTTCTTGAACTGCAAGTGCTAGTGCAGTTCTGCTTCCCTTCTGCTGCACTAGCAGCAGCAGCAGCAGCAGCAGCGGCAGCAGCTTCGCCATAATCTACATCTCCTGCCTTCGCTGCAACTTCCGCCGTGTCGGGCACTGGTGGTGGTGGTGCTGCTGCAGCTGTTGCTGCTGCAGCCGTTGCTGCTGCTGCTGTTGCTGCTGCTGCTATTCCTGCTGCTGTTTCTGCTGCTGGAGGGCATGGAGACTCTGCTACTAAGCCATGCTTCAAGCGTTTACGTCCCTGCTGCGGCTGCTGTTGCTGCTGCTTCTGGTGCTGTTCCTGTTGCTGCTGCTGCTCTTGCTGTTGCCGTTGCTGCTGCTGTTGCTGCTGCTGCTGCTTCGTAAGTGTCTTGCCAGCGTGTGCTGCAGCAGCAGCAATATCTTCAATCGGAAACACCTGCCGTCCTGGCAGCAGCAGGCAACCCACTGAATGCCCGGTTTGTGCCGCTGCTGCTGCAGCTGCTGCTGCTGCTGCTGCTCCCGCCTCTGTTGCTGCTGTGTCTGCTGCTGCTGCTGCTGGCTTCATAATAAGTCTCCCCAAGGCGCTGGGCAGCACTGTTGATGCATAAAGTTTTAAAAAGTCTTCGCTCCTAAAGCTGCAGCAGCAGCAGCAGCAGCTCCTGCTGCTGCTGATGCCTCCACTGCAGTTGCTGCCCCCACTGCTGCAGCAGCTGCCGTCGCTGTTGCTCGTGCTGCTACTAGCTTCTGCTGCTGCTGCTGCTGCTGCTGACACGCCTTTTGCAGTCACCGGGCTGTCGCCACACTCGACTAGTTGCTGCAGCACGCCTAGCAGCTGCTGCTCCCCAGCATCAGCAGCAGCAGCAGCAGCAGCATTTGGAGTGCCCCTATTTGGGTCCGACACGAAGACAACAATGGAATTGGGGCCCCCAAGAGCAGCAGAAGTTTTAAGAGCTTCAAATGTAAGCGGCGCGGCAGCAGCAGCAGCAGCAGCTAACGGCGATGCTGCTGCAGCCACTGTGCCGCTACTGCTGATGCTGCTGCTGCTGCTGCTGACAGACAAGGACCCAGGATGGCCTATGGATCCCGGGGAAGCAGCAGCACTTGCTGCTGCTGCTGCCGCTCCCGTGGGTGGAGCTTCTGATAAAGGCGTTCCGTGCTGCTGCTGCTGCTGCTGCTGCTGCTGCTTGAAAAAGAGGCCACCGGCGCATGCAGCAGAAAATCTGTGTGTAATCCACAGGGATGATTCCTCAGCATCTGCAGCAGAAGCAGCAGCAGCAAATAGCAGCAGCACAAGCCGGAAGCGGCAGCAAGAGGAGAGAACACGTGCTGCTGTTGCAGTGTCTGCTACATAAACAGTCCCCCGAGCTGTGCTGCTGCTGCTGCTGCTGCTGCTGCCTGCGGCGCTGGAGGCCCTTCCGCTATCTGCTGCTGCACGGCGTTTTCGAGAAGAGCTGCTGCCAGCCGCAGCAGCAGCAACAGCAAGGTCTGCTGAAGCAGGCTGCAGCAGCAGAATCGAAAATTCAGCAGCAGCAGCACTGGAGAGCGCAGCAGCAGCTGCTGCTGCTTCTTCCGGCCCCTCCGTCAGCAGCAGTGCCCCACACTCAATGACAGACTCAAAACAGCTGCTGCTGCTGCCGTTGCTGCTTAGGCTGCTGCTGCTGCTGCTGCTGTAGTGGCGGTAGAAGAGCTGCAGCAAAACGAACACCATTTCCATTAGAGGGCCAAAGGAGAGGTCTCTCTTTTTTGCTGCTAATTGCATGCGAGCAGCAGCAGTTGCTGCTGCAGCTCGCGCAGCAGCCAGCAGCTGCTGCGCCTCTCTGCTGCGCATGTGGCTCTGCATGCTTTCCGCGATGCTGCTGCCGCTGCTGCTGCTGCTGCTGCTGCTGCTGCTGGGGTTTATGTGGGATTCCAAATACTCGAGGGCCCCCTGGGGCCCCTCCCGCTGCAGCTGCTCTCTTGCTTCCAGCAGCATCATAGCAAAGCGGCACTCCGCAACCAAAGCCTGAATTCGCAAACCCTAAACCCTAAACCCTAAACCCTAAACCCTAAACCCTAAACCCTTGACGTTTTGCCGCCAGCGTGTATTTTCGAAACCCTTCGTGCCGCATACTGGTTATGGGCTTATTGCGAAAAACATTGACATTTAAACCCTAAACCCTAAACCCTAAACCCTAAAGCCTAATCTCCAAACCCTAAATCCTAAACCCTAGTTCCTTGAATTGCTTGGTGAGTTCTATCTATTGGGGTTGCTGCTGCGCAGTAGATATTTTCTGTGCAAGAAAGGCTGCAGCATACCTGCTGCTGCAGACTGCTGCTGCTGCTGCTGCTGCGCTGCAGCAAAGACCGTTGCGGTTGCTGCCGTCTCTGCTGCTGCTGCTGCTTCTCTGCTTCGTGAATAGCTGTTCTTGCTGCCTGCACATCCCTCTTAGTGATTGCTGCTTCCGGCACGCCAAGACACCGAACAACCTGCTGCTGCTGCTGCTGCTGCTGCCGCTGCAGCAGCAGCAGCACTTGCGGCTTGAGTCTCGTCAGCAGCAGCCCCTGCTGCCGTAAACCAGAAGTGCATGCGAGCAGCGCAGCACTGAAGGCCTCGAGAAGCCGTCGGTAGCGGCGCAAAGAGCTGCTGATCCCTGCTGCTGCTGCTGCTGCTGCTGCTGTTTCTGGTGCTGCTGGTGAAAGCAGCACACGCGCGAAGCTGCTGCTGCGGCTTTTCCTGCTGCTGCTGCTGCTGCTGCAGCGCCTCAGACGGCCAGTCAACCCTGGGGGAGAAACCTTAGGGGTGCTTGGCTTGTGCTGCTGCTTCTCATCCTCGCTGCTGCTGCTGCTGCTGCTGCTGCTGCTGTCGACACTCAGCACCGCGGGGCTGTCTGAAGCCAGCAGCTGCCTCTGTGCTGCAGTCGACCTTCCTTTTGCTGCAGCAGCAGCAGCAGCAGCAGCAGCAAAGGGCTGTGGATGCTGCTCTTGCTGCTTCTTGTCCTTAATATCGCCTTCCGTTGCTGACGTTGCTTCTGCTGGTGCTGCAGCCGCAACACTATGCTGCTGCTGCTGCTGCTGTTCAAGCTGCTGCTGTTCAACCTGTTGCTGCTCAAGCTGCTGCAGAAGCCGCAAGTCGTACAGGGACGCGCAGCGGCTTTGCTGCTGCTGCAGCAGCAGCAGCAGCAAAGAGCTTCCAACTGCCTTGTTGCGGCGAAGGCGCTGCAGCTCCCCTACCTCAGCAGATGTTGCTGCTGTTGCTGCTGCTGCTGCTGGGTCAGGTGCAGCAGGAAGCAGCACCTCTGCTGCCTGCGCTAAATGCTGCCAGTGCTGCAGCTGCTCCAAAGAGGCAGCCAAGAAGCTGCTGCAGCACACAATACAGCGTGCTGTGCTGCTGTCGCTGCTGCTGCTGCTGCTGTTGCTGCTGCTGCTGCTGCTAAAGACGGCTATTGCCTCTGCAACTTTAGGGTCTAAGAGAAGTTTTGGGGCTTCAAGCACCAACAGCAAACAGCAGCCCTCGACCATTAAGAGCTGCTGCTGCTTTTGCTGCTGCTGCTGCTGCTGCTGCTTAGGAGGAGGGGAGGGAGGTTCATTTTCTACTGAGTGTGGGCCAGCTCCATCAGTTTGCTGCTGTTGCTGCTGCTGCTGCTGCTGCTGCTGTTTGTCGCGTCTCTCTGCTGCTGCAACAGCAGAAAATGCTGCTGCTGTAAATACTGCTGCTGCTCTTTTTTTCATTCTTGCTGCTAGCTGCTTCCTCTCGCGAATGTTCGAAGCAAAAGCCGTGGTGCAGCAAACAGTTCCCGACGGCCTCTGCTGCTGCTGCTGCTGCTGCTGCTGTTGCTGCTGCTGGCTGCTGCAGGGCTCAAGAAAATGCTGCAGCATGGCGGCAACAGCTTGTGCTTGCTGCTCCTCCTCACACACAACCCACACAGGGGGAAAGATACTACCTGCTGCTGCTGTTGCTGCTGCTGCTGCTGCTGCTGTTGAGGTCGCAGCAGCAGCAGCAGCAGCAGTGGGAAAGTCAACCGATTTGGCGTGCTGCGCCGGCGCCTCGCAAGCTGCTAGTGATGCAGCAGACACAGCCAAGCATTGCTGCTGCTGCTGCTGCTGCTGCTGCAGGTAAAGAGCAGCAGCAGCAGCAGCTCTTGCTGCTACAGCTGGCGGTACTGCAACAGCCAAAAGACGGCGTGGAAGTGACTCCGGTACGCTCGCTGTGCTGCTGCTGTTGTTCTTGCTGCTGCTGCTGCTGCTGCTGCTGCTGTTGCTGCAGCAGCAGCTGCTGCTGCTTCTGCAGCAGCACTGCAGAGCTTTGTGGGCCAAACGCCATGCAGCTAATGACAAGTGAATGTCCGTGAGGGGCTCGCAATCGTGCTGCTGCTGCTGCTGCTGTTGCTGCTGCTGACTTGCTGCTGCTGCAGCAGAGCAGCAGCAGCTGAAGAAATCCAGGGCTCTTTTGCTGCAGACACAAAGAGGAGGGCCCCTGAGGGCCCCCTGCTGCTCCCCTGGGGGCCCCCCGGGTTTTGCCCCCACCTTGCAGCGCTTCCTCTGCGGCCGTGCTGCGGCTGCTGCTGTTGCTGTTGCTGCTGCTGCTGTGTCTGTTGCTGCTGCTTGTGCTGCGACCAATACTGGCGCTGCTGCTGCTGCTGCTTTGCTTTCGACATCTGGCTTCGCCCCTGGTGCTTCTGCTGCTGCAGGTGTCGCTGGTTCTGCTGTCGCACGCTCTTCTGCTGCTTCTTCTGCTGCTGCTGCTGCTGCTGCTGCTGCTGTGGGTGTAGGGGCCACTTTGTTTGCACGTCTTACTACTTTTGTGTTTCTTTTTATTTTATTTTCTTTTCCCGAAATAACAACAGCTGATGGAAAAGAACCAAGTTCGGGTTCACCTTTTGCTGCTGCTGCTGCTGCTGCTGCTCTTGCTGCTGTTGCTGTTGCTGTTGTTGCAGCTGGTGAGGCTGCAGCAACTGCTGCAGCAGCGGCAGAAGAGGCCCCATCTGCGGCGATGCCCTCAGCAGCATGCTCCTGCGCCGCAAGCGCAGCAGCAGGACCAGCTGCTGCTGCTGCTGCTGCATCTGTTGCTGCTGCATTTGCTGCTGCATTCCCTGCTGCTGCTGCATCGATATCAATGGCGCTGCTGCCGTGTGGCTGCTCTGCTGCTGCTGGTGTTGGTGTTGCTGCTGCTGCTGCAGAGCTCATCTATGTGAACAGCAGCAGCTGCCACTGGCAGCAACATCTTCTTAACCGCTCGAGCCCTAGGGAGCACTCCGCTGCTGCTGCTGCTGCTGCTGCTGAGGCTCTCTTTTGTGTATACACGTTTTTCTAAGCAATAAAGTAATTTAAAAATACAAAAAGACCCGGATATATCATCAAAGAGGGCCCCCAGGGGCCCCTGGGGCCCCCTGGGGGCCCCTGGGGGCCCCTTAGGGGCCCCCAAGGGCCCCTGTATCTCCGGGGGTGGGGTTGTTGTAATTATTCAATTTTGTTTCTTTTTTTGTCGATTGTTTAGCATTACTTTAATTAAATGCAATTTTATGATTTATTTTATTTTAATTTATCTTTTCATGTTTAATCAGAAGAAAAAATGGACAAAAATGAACAGAAAAAAAAAGTCGATCTGAAGATGCGCATTGGAGGAAAGAACTTGAATTCTTCGAATTCGAAATAAGAACGAATGAAATTTATTTTGTTTCTTTTTATTTTATTTTAAATTATTTATTTTTATTTATTTTATTTTAATTTATTTTATTTATTTTGTTTCCAAACAATTAAATATTCATAATGCAGCAATTGGCAGTGGCAGAACTTCATTTTGTTTGTTTTGAAAAACAAAAAAGGACAAAAATCAAAAAAAGAAAAATCAAATGGTGAATGTGGCTGCTGCTGCTGTTGCTGCTGCAGCTGCTGCTGCTGTTGCTGCCGCAGCTGCTGCTGCAGCTCCTAATGAAAAATGCTGCCACTGCAGCAGCTGCTGCAGCTTGTTGTTGCTGCTGCACTTGTTGCAGCATCGCTTGCTGCTGCAGCTCTCGCTGCTGCAGTTCTTGCTGCTGCAGCTCTTGCTGCTGCAGTTGCTGCTGCTGCAGCTCCCGCTGCAGCAGCTCTTGCTGCAGCAGCTCTTGCTGCTGCTGCTGTTTATGCAATTGCATCTGAAACGAAGTTTTGTCTTTTGGATTTGACTTCGTTTTGTTTTAAATGAATTAAAAATTCTTCTTTTAGTTTTTTGAAGTCGACGCTGCCTTTGAAGGTTCTGGGGATTTTTGCAAATCGGACGAAGTCGGGTTTGAATCCTTTTTGAATTTCTTTGCTTTCTTTTGCTTTTTCGAGGAATTTTGATTTAATTTCTTTTTTAATTTCATTAAATTCATTTAATTCTTTTAATTCTTCCTTTATTCCAGTCAAATCCGAGGCTTTTTGCTGCTGCTGCTGCCGATTCAGAAGTTCCATTTCCTTTGCAACTTCACCTTCCTTTCCAGTTCCTCTTTTTAGTTCTTTTTCCTCTTTTAATTCCTTTTTATTTAATTCCTTTTTATTATTTAATTCTTTTTCATTTTTAAATTCTTTTTCATATTGGAATTCCTGTTCATCTTTGGATTCTTTCTTTTGCTTTCCCGCTGCTTCCTCTTCGAACTTGAATTCCACTTCTTGAAATTCGGTTTCCGGGCTCATTTCGGGGTCTTTTTGCGTCTCTTTTTCGCGTTTTGATCCATTTTCTTTTTCAAATTCCTTTTCTTTTTCTGAGTTTCCCTTTTTCGATTCAAATTGCTTTTCTTTTTCCGAAGTTTCAAAGTCGGAATCTGCAAACTCGACGGTGACGCAGTTGTCGTCGTCGTGTTCGCTGCGCCACTTGACGCCGACGGCTGCAATTTGAATTCTTTTTTGAATTTTTTCGCTCAAATTGAAACTTTTAATCAAAAATTCAAATAAAACGGAATTAATTTGCGAACAAGAATAGTTAACTCCGCCCTTAATGAGGAGATCTGCAGTGCGCGTCACCCAGTAGAAGTCCCGGCCGCCGTCTTTGGGGTTTTTCAGAAAAAACCCGACATCTCCGAACCCCAAGTACCACTTTTCGGGTGTAATTACACCGTTTTGAAGCTCATTTTCGATTTTATTTCCATTTTTGAACTCCATTTTCTTTTTTCTGGACTCCAGAGGGTTCAAATAACCCAACAGTACGTTGCCCCCCCTGCAGATCAGGTAGCCGCACTCCCCCTCTTCGCAGTCTTGCTGCAGCAGCCCAAACAAAAAGATCTGATTCATTTAATTATTTTAAACTTTTATTTTAAAATAAAATAAAAGTTTAAAATAATAAAATAAAGGAATTAAATCTATTTTGTTTGAGCTGCTGCAGCAAGACTGGCGCATTTTCAAGCAGCTCCGTTCACCGCATGCAACTAATTGCTGCTATTGAAGGAACTCGTGTGTTTGAAACGACAATTTTCATTCAATTTGATTCAATTTAATTCGATTTAATTGATTTAATTTAATTAATTAAATTAAATCAATTAAATCGAATTAATTTAATTTAATTCGCTGCTCACCATGTAGCCTTCTTCCCCCTTTTTGGTGCTTTTAACAACTCGCATTTCCGTGAGGCCTTTGTGCGGGCGGCCGATGAAGAATCCAATTTTATTTTCTTGATTTTGTTTTTTTGTTTGAATTTGATTAATCATTTTAACTTTATTGTTCACTTCTCCGGCTGCAGTTTCATCTGACTGCCGCTCCCCCAGTCCTTCTGTGTCTGCTGCTGCTGCTGCTGCTGCTGCTGCTGCTGCTGCTGCTGCTGCAGTTGTCTCTGCGTCTTTTCCAGCTTCGCTGAAGCCGGTGCTGCTGCTGCTCTTCTTGCTTCCATTTGTCTCGTCAAATGTCTCCAAGGTCCCTTCCCGTGTCTCACACTCCCCTGCTGCTGCTGCTGCTGCTGCTGCTGTTGTGCCTTTTGCTGCTGCTGCTGCTGCTGCTGCTGTTCCTTGCCACCCCCGCCGCATCGCCTCCAGCTGCTCCTCATCTGACATCCAATAAGGGACCGAAGCAACCTGAATAAATAAATAAATAAATAAATAAATAATAAATAAATAAATAAATAATGAATAAATAAATAATAAACAATAAATAAATAAAAATAAATGAATAAATAAATAGATAGGTAAGAATAAATAAATAAATAACTAAATGAGTAAATAAATAAATAAATCATTTTTCGATTAGGTGCGGGCCTAGGAAGTGACTTGATAGGAAAATAAAATTTTTTTAATTTATTTTAAAAACTTTGCTGCTGCTGCTGCTGCTTCCTATTTGATACAATTAATTGATTTATTTAATTTATTTAATTCAATTAATTTATTGAATTTATTTGACTTATTCAAATTATTTAATTGATTTAACTGATTTAATTGATGTATTTCATTATTTATTATTATTAATTCATTTAATTTAACTATCCATTTAATTTAATTTAATTTAATCTAATTAACTTAATTTAATTTAATTTCAATTTAATTTAATTTAATTTAGTTCAATTTAATTTAATTATTTCAACGAATTTAACTCGTTTAATTTATTTCAAAAGTTGAACCCATCAAAGTCACTGCATTCAAATCCGTTGAATTCCGAATTAAATTAAATTAATTAAATTAAATTAAATTAATTAAGTTAAATTAATTAATTAGCTAATTAAATTAAATTAATTAATTAATTAATTTAATTAACTTGCCTGCAAAGTTGTTTCTGTGGAGCCAAATCGAACTTTGGGAATTTTGTGGAGGAGGGTTTGGAGTGTACGTACACTGGAGGGCCCCACAGGCGCGGAGCCGAGCAGCAGAATTAAATTCACTTCTTTTTCTTTTTCTTTTATTTCATTTATTATATTTTCTTTTTCCAGCTTTCCCTCCAAGTGCAAGTTCCACAAAAAGTCTATGTGGCGAGACACAAGGGGAGCCACCACGCGGCACCTGCTGCTTCCTGCTGCTGCTGCTGCTGCTGCTGCTGCGGGCGGTGATGGTGCGGCTTCTGCTGGTGCTGCTGCTGCTGCTGCTTCACGAGCAGCAGCGGCAGCCGCGGCGCCAGTTGCTGCTGCTGTAGTGGCCGGGGGAAGAGCAGCAGCAGCAGCAGCAGCAGCAGAAGTAGCAGCAGCATCTTTACAAGCAACGCACAGCACTTTCCAGTAGGTGGTGCGGTATCTGCAGCAGCAGCAGCAGCAGCAGCAGCAAAGGGAGAGAAAAAGGAAGAACTAGCTTAACAAATAAATCGCTGCAACTGAGAATTTAAAAAAGATAAAAAAGACAAATAAAAAGACATAAAGCGAATTGAATTGAAAAATAAAAAAGAAATAAACAAAAAACAAAAGAATTGATGAATTATTCTCTAATTTTATGAGTGAATTAATTAATTAATTAATTA